TACACTACGCTACATTACACTACACTATTCCACTACACTCCACTACACTATACTACATTACACTACACTACATGACACTGAATGACACTGCACCACAGATAGACAGGTAGACAGATAGACAGATAGATAAGTAGATAGATAGATAGATAGATAGACAGATAGACAGCTAGACAGATAGACAGATGAAAGAGAAAGAGAGAGAGAGATAGATAGATAGATAGATACACAGATAGACAGATAGACAGATAGACAGATGAAAGAGAAAGAGGGAGAGATAGATAGATAGATAGATAGATAGATAGATAGATAGATAGATAGATAGATAGATAGATAGATAGATAGATACATAGATAGATAGATAGATAGATACATAGATAATAGATAGATAGATAGATAGTAGATAGATACATAGATATAGATAGATAGATAGATAGATAGATAGATAGATAGTAGATAGATAGATAGATAGACAGATAGACAGATAGACAGATAGACAGACAGACAGACAGATAGACAGACAGATAGATAGATAGATAGATTAGGTAATTAGATGAAAGAGAGAGAGAGAGAGATAGATAGATAGATAGATCGATAGATAGATACATAGAAGATAGATAGGTAGGTAGGTAGGTAGATAGTCAGAGAAAGAGAGAGAAAGAGAGGAGACCTCAAGCACCTTTCGGTCCATCAGTGGATTCGCTCTGCCATCCCGGATTCACAACAACCAATCTCTCCTATAGGTTTCCTGTTTTTGAAACTTCCGCCACCGCCTTGTGCGGTACTACTGGTATAATAGGCATTGTATATTTTAAAATAGTATAATTATAGGTATAATATAATTTAATAAAATAAATAGTATCGTAAAATGTAATTTAATAGCAATTAGATTTATAATTACTATTATATTAAAATATAGTATGATTAATTCCATTTATATTTAAAATTATAATATATTAGAATATAATTGGTACAATGTAGTATAAAAGAATATTTCCTTAATTTTGAAATTTATATAATAACGTCAAAAACGAAATAAATCTGCGAGATTTCCTAAATGTTCAAAATCAATAAGTATAAAAACAAAGCAATTCTGCAAAATTTCCTGATTTTTCGATGGTAAAAAAAACAAAAACGAAATAATTCTGTAAGATTTCCTTCAAAAATGGAAAGTTGAGTGCGGAGCTGACGGTCTCGTACCAATGCGTTTTGTAATTTTTCCATTCCATCTGCTTAAAGTACTGCGCCTACCACGAAAAAGTAAGCCAAGGTCATACGAAGTGCTGCACGCGATACGCAAAATCATCTTAGCAAACCTGAAGATCTGATGATCCGAAATGACAACCCCTCTCAGGAAATCAGCGCCCGGACCTCCTAACAGCTCTGATGAAGATGTCTCTTGTACTGCGCCTGCCACGGAAAATGCATCTTTGCAAATCCTCTTCATATGTCCCACGTCTGCCAATTTTTGGAAACGCTACGAAACCCTCACGTTTTGCTCACTTTTGACAAGGTGCACAATCCTTTGCGCCTGCCACGCGAAGCGACATCTGAACGTCAAAAAGCGCTCTGCCCCACAGTTTTTGGCACTCTTGACTTCGAAATGTGCTTCGCGCCACAACAGCGTGCACTTTTTCGACATCTCAACTTGCAAAAGTGCTCCGAACCCGTCGGTTTTTTACACTTTTGACTTCGAAGCGCGCTTCGCGCCACAACGGTGTGCACGTTTTCGACATCTCAACTTCCAAAAGTGGTCCGGACCTGGTGTGCTTTGTACATTTTGACTTCGACATGTGCTTCGCGCCACAACGGCGTGCGCTTTTTCGACATCTCAACTTCCAAAAGTGGTCCGGACCTGGTGTGCTTTGTACATTTTGACTTCGAAACGTGCTTCCCGCCACAACGGCGTACAATTTTTCATCTCTCATCTGCCGAGCGGGCTCCGCACCCGCCGCTTTAGCGAGCCTACTTTTTGACCCTCCGGAGCCACAAATCATTGCAAAAACACAGTGTTTCGCGACTTTCCTACCTGTTCGCGCACCTGCATCTTCTTTCTTCTTATACTTTCTCTTTTTTGATCTTCTTTCTTCTTCTCTTCCCTTTGCTGACTCTTCCCATCTCTGCTTTTTATCTCTCCATATTGTCGGAAGTTTGACTTCTAAACTTCCTTCGACAAGTACAAATATATCCAAAATATGTTTTGGATTTAAAATATCAAGAGTAATAAATAAATCATCGGAGATGTAGCGATGAAACTTTGTTCACTACACTATGTACTTAGTCGAATGCAAATTGGTCGTTTGATGTCTTATGTCCTGTGGTTCTTTGTATATATATGTTGTTGCAATAAAACAACTCAAACAGCGGCTTGTGCTGAACATGCTCAAACAACGGTTTGGTAGCAAGTTCAAGACATCTTCAAGACCAATTTGGCGACTCAAAAAACATGAAAACCATCAAGCTTTCCAACCTCTGCTAACCCATGGATATGATTGGATACGGACCTAAGGACTTAAAGGAAATCAAATCCTATATATATATAGAATCTTCTGGAACCCTACAGTATGAAGGAACATGGAAGTTTTGCAGCTTGATAGCTTGATGGGCTCATGTGCAACTCAATGCAATCATACACTGAGTTTGCGCTTCTTCCATGACTTCAATACCTGTGCCCTTGAGGATATTTTTCGTGGGTTCCCACTCATCACGCGCCTGGCTCGCAAGGGCGAGAGTACAGACGAGCAGTAGACTCAATAGAGTTGACACTTGAATCTCAAAAAGGATTGAAGCTCTTCCACTCAAAACAACCATTCAAACCGGCGCTGGACTAAGCCAGAATTGAACAGCACCCCAGGCCTGGCAGCAGCCATCACAGCTTCCACTGTCATGCCCAGCTCGGCTTGAACTTTCTTGATCGGAGCTGATAAGCCAAAGGTGATCATCCCAACCTGAGATCAGCTGGTGACATCCAACTGTCCACCTGAGTCTGCCAAATGATGTTTCCCCCGTCGCTTTTGCAGCGTGGCCACATGTTCGCCGTCCAAGCCAAGCAAGCTGCCTGCCCAAGGCATGGATCCTTTAAGATCCACCACACACATCCAACTCTGTTGCTACGCTATCTTGATCCATACATTCCATATCCAAACGTTGCCTACATGTAAAGAATACTTTCTTCGAGTGATCCCCACCCTGACACATTATTCTGACATAGTTCTGACATACCATCTGGAAAAATGGAAATGATATATATATATATACAGTATATATATATTATGTTTAAAAAAAATGTATATACATATAGCATATATTAAATATTAAAGATTATAGACTATATATTATATCATATATATATATATATTGAATATTAAATATCATATATTATGTATTATATATCAAATATTATACATTATATACATACATATATATATATATATTATATTCAATAATATATATTCAATATTAGATATTAAATTACATATATATTATAAAATATATAGTATCTTAAAGAATATATATTATATATATTATATACATATATATATATTGTATGTTACATACTACATATTATATATTCTATAATGTATTTATAATATAACATTAACTTATATATTAAATATTATATATTATATATTGTTATTGTATATTATATATAGATTTATATATTAGATCTTATATTAAATATTCCCTATATTATCTTTGATGTATTAAATTATTTATTCTATATATTAATCATGTTATATTATGTATTATATATTAAATAAAATAATATTATATATCATATATTAAATATTATATACTATACATTGTATTTTATAAATTATATATTACATATTAAATATGATATAATGCATATATATATATATAAAAAACATTATATATTATATATTATATAGTATAAATTATAAATAATATATTATATATCATATATTATATATATTATATATATTATATTATATTATAGTATAGTATATTATATTATATTATGTTATATTATATTATATTATATTATATTATCGAAGGAAGTTTAGAAGCAATACTTCCGACAATATGGACAGTTGAAAAGCAGAGGTGGGAAGAGTCAGAAGAGAAAAGATCAGAAGAAAGAAGATGTAGATGCGCGAAAAGATAGGAAAGTCGCGATTCACTGTGTTTTTCCAATGATTTGTGGCTCCGGAGGGTCGAAAAGTAGGCTCGCTAAAGCGGCGGGTGCGGAGCCAGCTGGCCAGATGAGAGAAGAAAAATTGCACGCCGTTGTGGCGCGAAGCACATTTCCAGACAAAACACCAGGGGAGCGGACCACTTTTGGAAGTTGCGATGTCGAAAAAGTGCACGCCGTTGTGGCGCGAAGCACATTTCCAAGTCAAAATGTACAAAACACACCACGTTCGGACCACTTTTGGAAGTTGAGATGTCGAAAAAGTGCACGCCGTTGTGGCGCGAAGCACATTTCCAAGTCAAAATGTACAAAACACACCAATGTCGGACCACTTTTGGAAGTTGCGATGTCGAAAAAGTGCACGCCGTTGTGGCGCGAAGCACATTTCCAAGTCAAAATGGACAAAAAACCTCAGCGTCGGACCACTTTTGGAAGTTGAGATGTCGAAAAAGTGCACGCCGTTGTGGCGCGAAGCACATTTCCAAGTCAAAAGTGTTAAAAACTGACGGTTTCGGACCACTTTTGGAGGTTCAGATGTCGAAAAAGTGTCGAAAAAGTGCACGCCGTTGTGGCGCGAAGCACATTTCGAAGTCAAAAGTGTAAAAAACTGAGGGGTTTGAGCCTTTTTTGACGTGAAGATGTCGAAAAAGTAGACACTGATTAACTTAACTAACTTGACTAACTTAACTAACTTCACTAACTTAACTACCCTAACTTCGACGACAACACCAACAGCAACAACAGCAACAACAACAACAACAACACCAACCACAACAACAACAACTACAACTACAACTACAACAACTACACAACAACTACAACTACAACTACAACTAGAACTAGAACTACAACTACAACAGCTACAACAACAACAACAGCAGCAGCAACAACAACAACAGCAACAACAACAACAACAGCCACAGCAACAGCAACAGCAACAACAACAACTACTACTACAACTACAATTACAACTACAACTACAACTACACAACAACAACTACTACTACAACTAGAACTACAACTACAACAACTACAGCTACAACAACAACAGCAACAGCAACAACAACAACAACAACTACAACTACAACAACAGCAACAACTACAACTACAACTACAACAACTACAACAACAACGACAACAACAACAACAACTACTACTACTACTACAGTACACAACAACTACAACCACACAACAACTACAACAACTACAACTACAACTACAAAACAACTACAGCTACAACCATATGACTGCAACTACACTACGCTAATTACATTACACCACAACTACAACTCCACTACGCTACAACTACAACTACAGTTGCAGTACATCACACTACATCCAGCAGTTGTGGGTGAGGTGACCACTGCAACCATTGCAACCATTCCAGCAAACACAACTCCAACCACCTTTCGGTCAATCAGTGGATTCGCTCTGCCATCCCTGATTCACAACAACCAACTTCTCCTATAGGTTTCCTATTTTTGAAACTTCCTCCACCGCCTTGTGCGGTACTACTGGTATTATATTATATTATATTACATTATATTATATTATATTATATATTATATTATATATATATTATAAGTTATGTATTCTATTTTATATATTATATATTTTAAACGATATTTTGTATATTATATATGATATTTTGTATTATATATATATATTATTTATATATTTTATATTTGATATTAAATACTATATACTTTATATTATACATTGTATATTATGAATTGTCTATTATACATTATATATTATATAATATATAATATATAGTGTATGTGAGATATTACATATCATATATCATATATCATATATAAATTATACATTATATATTATATATTGAATTTCATATATTAAATATAACATATTACATACCATTTATGTTATATTATATATTATTATTTTATATCATGTATTATATATTATATATGTTCTATTTTATAGTACATATTATAGTTTATATAATTATTATGTATTGTATTTAATATATTATACATCATATATTATATCATTATCATATTTATATATATATATTCTGACATTCTATCTAACATTCTTTCTGGATCTTTCTGGCATATACTCTGACATTCTTTCTGGCATATATGCTGACATGATTTCTGGCATCTATTCTGACGTTCTTTCTGGCAGTTTGAAATCTGGCGCTTGCGGTTGAGGTCCGGCAGTGCCCACTGAGATCTGGTGCTTGCAGTTGAGGCCTGGCAGTGCCCATGGCGATCTGGAGTTCGCAGTTGAGATCTGGAGTTCGCGGGAGGGAGGGAGGGAGGGAGGGAGGGAGGAAGGAAGTAACTCTGATAAAATCTAGAGACCCTCACCTGGCAGGTGGGGAAAAGAAACACATTCCACTGACCACATTCGAAACGTACTTCAGGCTCCCACCCCAAGAATCTCTGCGGCTTGCTTCAATGGAGACACGCGCACGGCATGCGTTCGGAAGCACCTGGGATGCGGCCATTCGTGGCAGAGGCGGCAGATGCAAGGGAACCAAAAACTCCGGCAGAAGCCTCCTGGGGGTCCAGCGGCGTCGATGTATTCCTGCGATTGCTGTTTGAAGATCTCCAGTGAAGGAAAGCTCACTGACCTTCACAGTCTCGCAATCTAAATCTAATCAAATCTAATCGGCTCATTGACGCTCATTGCATGTCTCAAAATCAATGACAACTTTTCGGAAAATCCCGAAAACCAGGCCTCACTTTCACACCACTGGCAGCCAGCTCTTGGTGTGCCTGCACCATGAGGTGAACCTCACTGCCTGAGTGAACCATGGCCGGATCAGAGCTGGGTCCTGCTGTCCTTCTGAGTTTGCTGCCTGTCGACATCAAAATGACCTCTGGCGCTGCACCATTGGTTGACCTCAGGCGAAGCAAATGTGTCACTTTCTGCGCATCCTGCAATAAATTCAGTAAAAAAATGTCAAAAATAAAGCTTTTACTGCTGCGTACAGCCAAGATGCGTATCTGCCAAAATGTATCCACCCTGCCAGCGTGGTTTGCATGGATCTGTGAGGGTGGCCAAAATCAGCACCGAAGTTGCTCGTACTGTGAATATGATCTTTACTCAATGACAATGCTACTCCGATGAGTTCTAACGACCATGATTAGTAGATGTTTGACGCGGGTTCATATCAGAAGCAAACTATCTTTGGCATATTTTCCCACATAACCAACCCACCCTGGATGATGGGTAGGTTTCCATGTCACTGTTGCATTTTGCTAGAGAGGCACCTTGTGTACACCTTCTGCTGACGCAAATGTCTGCCTGTCCAAAGTTGGAAGCGCTTGCCGCGACAAAATGATGGCCACGGGTTGGTCCTGGGCTTGTTGAAACATTACGTGGATATAGAAGCCACCATCCTATCGGGATATATGGGGGTATAAGGGGCTATAATAGGGACATGGGATATATTGATATGTGATGATATGTGTGTGTATGTATCTATATATATATATATACAAGTACAACCAACAAGATGATATTTGGGGATTGTCTGGAAATCGCAATCCATTTTAATGCGCAAATGATAAACAGCGGATTTGGTGATTCACTATTTTTGGACAAACCCATGTGCAAACAGTGGTTGGCTAATGTGTCGGCTGTCAGTCCTGCAGAGGCATAATAAACTTCCACATCTCCAAGCATTCATTTGCATCCTCAGTTGCAGCGCTTGCACCGACTTAACGGCTGGCACGACAAAAATATGTCAGTCCGGTGTGCTAAATTTCAAAAGTATAGGGTTTTTACCAGAAGTTCATTTTGAAAAAGCACCCTAAGTTCTGGAGAGCCGCTGCAATGTGCAATGCTAGCCGGAGATACAGTACTGATTTTCAACTCCCCCCAGTGCCCCCCAGGCCGTTCCACCATCTTTTGTTCCCATGGCTCTTCATCGGATTTTCGATGGGTGCGATCATCATAACATGATCTTTGGGGTCCATGACTCATGACAAGTCCATGACTCCATAACAGGGACTGTGGATTGAGCAATTCGAGTACACCGACATCATTCCACTCTAGTCACTCTAGTCAAGGACACAAAATTTCAACTAACTATTTAGTTTTCAACTGTCAACCCTAGTTTCAGAGAAGCAGGAATCAGAATCAACACATTGAAATTGATGCATCAGTTAATCACAGCATAGTATATGCTAAGAATATGTTTATCAGAGACTCAATCCACCAACAACATTTGGGATGTGAAGCGTGTTACATCACCATCACCGAATGTTCAGTGCTTTCACAATGGGTCCGTTGCGCTTTGCGGGCTGGAACGCGATCTTCTCATCCTTCTCCTTCTCCGCCTTTGTTTGGAAGGCCGTGGCCAATGGGACCGCAGGAATAAAGACTTTAAACAAACTTTGAATTCAAAATCAAAAACATTATTTGGAATAATTTTGGGTTCAACAGTTCAACTGTCAACTGGTTACCTGCTATTAGCCTGCTATTAGGCTATTAGCTATTGTTTGATGCTTGGTTCAGTTGATAATGATCTTGTCCGAACTGGATGGTTGGTCTGGCTATAGAATGACCAATGATCTGGTCCAATCAGTCCAGCCTGCTTGCGCTTCTTGGAGTTAGGGGATGTAGACGTAGGCTCTGCCTGGCAATGATATGTTACATGATGTCATCCAACCATCCAGGCATCCAGGGTACTGAACCAACACAACTGACATCATCAACATGAGTCACCATGCCATACCACATCCTTTACTGAGTATTGTTGCATTGCAGTAACACCATCATCATGGACATGAAAAAACAAACGCTTAAATCACTTAAGTAAGAAAAAACAACTTCAACAAAATTGGAAACCCACTGGACAGTGACAGTGACATGACATCGAAAACTGCGGCCCGTGACCCTGACCTTGGCTTTCGCCTTTGACGTTGGGTTGCTCTTGGCTTTGGGTGCCCTCCCCCTCCTCTTTGGGGTCGCCACCACCTTTGGTGATGCAGCTGCCTTGGCCTTTGGCTCCGACTTACGTTTACTAGGCTTAGCCGGTGCCGGCGTAGCCTCAGGCTCCACTACGTTCACAGGCATAGACTTAGACTCAGGCTTCTCAACGGCTGGGTCTGGGACTTTCTCAGGCATAGACTTAGACTCAGGCTTCTCAACGGCTGGGTCAGGGTCTGGGACTTTCACAGGCATAGACTTAGACTCAGGCTTCTCAACGGCTGGGTCTGGGGAAGCACCTGCACCTACCACACCCACAGTAGATGAACCAACCCCATTGTTGCCATTCTCTGTCTCTGACTCCAACTTGTTGAGACCGGAATCCTTGTTGTCATTGGTGCCGCTGTGGTCCTTCTCAGTCTCCTTCTTCTCATCATGATGGTCATGGATGGTGGCCAGTCCTGATGGATCGTTGCTGTTCTTCGGCTGATTGTTCTCCTTCTCCAACTCCAGCTGATTGTTCTCCATCTCTGACGGTTTGGCGGCCAGTTTGGCGGCTGTGGTTTCAGTCCTGTCCTGAATGGCCTTGGTCGTTTCCAACGGCTCCGCATTCTTCAGCTGGTCATTGTCATCCACCATCTCAGATGTCTTGGTGTTTTCCTCGGTGTCCATGTTCTTGGGCTTCTCGTTGGGCTCCTCTGGTGCGATCTTGGCGTGGCCATTTTTCGTGTACTGGCCGCTCACGGTGGCGAAGTCAACGAAGTCAATGAGGTCTTCATGCACATCACCTTCAAAGTTTCCCCAACTCCATTCATCACACACCTCAGCAATCACGTACTTTACATAGGACTGGTGCTTTGAGTGGTACGTTGCCATGAGGACCACCTCTTCAAGGTTGACGTTGTCGAAGTCCTCCGCCTCTATCTTTTGAAAAACTTGTTTGATCTCATCAATGATCGCATCATCCGACATGCCCGAAAAGTCCTTGCTCTCACTCTCACCATTCTTGTTCTTGGTTTCAGTTTCAGAAGTCTGCTCATTCGACACCGGTTTGGCTCCTGATGCTGATGATGCATTCTCATCGGAGTTGGTCTTCTCCTTCTTCACGAGTTCTGACATCAAGTCCAAGTAGAGTTTGCAAGTAGGTGACCTAAGTTCATACAACCGCTGAATACAACCCAACCGAACTTGGTAAGCAAACCGAACGTCACCGCCAGCCCCCCCAAAAAAATGATGTAGTGTGTCGGTGTGTGTGTGTGTGTGGATACTCAGTGCTCAAGGTTTCAATTTCAGGCCATACAAAAAATTAACAAACGAAAAAAACACTATGATGATTTTGTCAAGCAACTCTTTCAGAGACAGTTGCATGAATTGGGCTGCATGCTTTTGGTTGCTGACAATGATGCAAGATGTCGATCGTAGAGTGATGCTGTTGCCACTGCCACAAACCTTTTCGCACACCAAGCTTCCAAATGGGACATACATGATGTCCCCAGGGATAACGTAGGTCACCCGCAGTGATGGGAGCTCACTGAAGATGTGAGGGTTCGAGTCATCTAAGTCTCGAAAATGTTCGCATGCCTCCTGTCAGGCTGGGGCTATGGCTGAGAAGGTCTATGTCACATTGCACATCTATGTGAATGTACCTGTATCTTGGTCTAAGCTGGTCCGGTCAATGGAAAGGCTGTTGATGTTGCACTAACAAACCATAATGCAACCTGGGCCTGGGTAACCTGGTTATGGACTGCGCGGTCTCCGAAATCACACTATCTATCTTGTCCATGTTGATCTCTATATATATATAGTCTTATATAGTGTTACATTGTTTTTTGTTGAACAAAATGTCCATATAGTTCAAAGTTATCCCAAAGCCCAGATTGCATATATCCGCTACAGTCCTGCAGAAGAGCTTTGAACTTTGCAGTGGTTTGGCTGTCATCAGAGATTAAGTCACCAAGATCAGGGTTCTTGCGAGTGGTTGCCTCCCATGCATCAATGGTGGCAATCAACCGGTTACCTTCGTACTGATAGACAAAGGCGCCCATACCACCAGGTAATACACCAATAAAGACACTTCCATGCGCAGAGCCAGACCAAGTCACTCCAGACATTCGCAACACTTCTTTCTTGGCAGCATCTTCAGCCAATGCAGGTTCCCAGGACGGACAGGCTGACATGATCCTGATATGAATTGGAACATGAACTTGAATTTGACTCATGATCAGATTTGATGGAACAATTTGCTGATGTTATTTGACTTAATTTGACTTCGATATGACTTGACTCGACCAGCTATTCACCAAGTACCGTACAAGCACATTGGGTGAATACCAAAATCGAAGCATCGAGGGATTGCTTTACTCCATGTCATAATATCACCTAAGTTAAGCCAAAACACTTTTCGGTCATCGTTGCACGATCCACCACTGCATCCAACAGAACTTCATCATGTTTCTGAGCTTCACATAATCGATCAATTTCGCATTGGATAAGACGATCCAACGCCAATGCTGAACCTGGTCCCTCAGCAGGAAAAGCGGACCTGCCAGGGCCAGTCTTTCCTTCTGACTCCATGGCAGCCCATTTCTCCTCGCACTCCGAGGAAAAGCGTTGAGCATCGGAATTCAACACTTTGGACATGGTGGAGGCCGCATTCGAAGTGAGGCCAGGGGTCGCCTCATGGATAACAGAGAAGGTCAGTACATCAGGGTGTTCGTGTTTGGATTCAGAATGTTGATGTATTGGCGGAACACTGGTCTGGTGGTGTTGATGGACATCAATATCAAAACAATATCTATATCAGGAATCATGATTCACGTGGGAGGGGTTATGTTCAATGGCATGTGTATGCATATGGGGTATTTTCCAAAACTGTAACAAAGGCAGATAAAATCATATACAACCCATTCTTGTATATGTTTTAGTTCTGCATGCATGTGTGTGTAATGAGAATCATATTAGTTGTGTTTCTTGTCTTGTAGGCATATTTTGGTGTATCTAGCTGCCTATGTGCATGCATAGGTGCAGTAACAGATCTGACCGCTATTGTACTATTGTACCGATATAAGTTCATGGTTCACTACATGGTTCACCCACGCCCACATCTCCCCCTTTTCATAAAAGCCAAGACACGGACAGCACCTTCTTCGCCATGCCCTTCTTGAATCGCAAGACGGTCGGAAGATTAGGCTGCATGCAAATCTTGTTGACAAAGCCACTCAGCTCTTCTGTGATTGATGTGCTAGGAAGTCCATGCGCAACCCGAAGGGTGCGAAGAACAGCAGGGTCTGAAGGATCAAGTTCACCTGCAGCTCCTCCTGTGCGTCTGCGTGTGCGTGTCTTTGTCTTGTCATCTTCTCCTTCAGCTGCACTGCCGGCTCCTCCTTCGGCTTCTGCTTCAGCTGCAGCTGCCTGTTCAGCAGCCCTTGCTTCCTTTTCCTTTTTCTGCCTTTCATCACGAGCAGCTGCCTTTGCCAGTCTCACCCTTTTGCGCTCTTCGTCTTTCTTCTCCTTCTCATCCGCCTTCCGTTTTGCCTTTTCCTCTTCGGCATAGGCGTTTGCCAAAGCTTGCACCCCCGAGCGCCATGTCTCCCCCTCTTTCTCGACACACTGGATGATGCGCAGCAGCACTGCTAAGCCATTACGCTGGTAGTCCATGAGTTCAATCACTTTGGAAGCACTGGGCTGTAACTCCAAAACCTTATTCCTCACATCACGAATCTTCCCAATGGTTTGTACTCCTTTGGGATCAGATAGCATATTGCCCTGAAGTTCCCGCAAAAACGGGTCCTTCAAACAAGCCTTGAGAAGAACATCACTGGCTACATCTCCATCATGTCCACCAGAACTATTCATGGCAGCCCTCAGCAATTCCATCCGCTGCCGAAGGAGTGCTAAGCTAGCATCACCATCCACCTTGTCCTTCAGGCCGGGCAAGGCCGGGATGGACAAACCGTCATTCAATCGACTACTGACCGATTCGGTATTGTCGCATTCATATTCATAAATTCATAATCATACATGAAAAAAATGGTATTATATACATCGATTCTGATATCTGTTTGTACATAGACATACACTGACATATATGTACACCGGGCCGGGCCGGGATGGATATCAAGACATTCACTCAGACACAAAGTTTTGAACCAGGAAAACCCAATGATTAGGACCATGATTGAATGGCTGCTTGATTAAACTGACCATATTACTCACCCTCAGTCACAGTCGCTGTCCTGGTCGTTTCCATGAATCTTCACAGCAACAGGACCCAATATGTTCTCACCGAAGTTCAATGCCTTAGACAAACCTGTCTCAACTGCTTTGAAATCTTTCATTGTTTTGGTTCTCTGCTTTGCTGCTTCCACTGCGGGTTTGACCTGCTTGTCATCAGGCTTCGGAAGATTCTTCGAGTTCCGAGCCCTACTTGTCGACGGGCCAGATGATGGGACTGAAGGCCGGCTGCCAAGTGGGCCAAGTGTCGAAGAGCTAGGAGCGATGTAGGGGATAAGGGCCTCTTCATCCTCCATCTCAGCCCACATGGAGAGAGCAGTCTCCTTCTGAAGTGCGATGGTCTTTTCAGATGGATTCTGCTGATGGTCCCCACGTTCCTGTTGCACTGATTGGTCCTAGCGGTTGGCGGTCGGCGGTCGGGTCAGGTTAAATTGGATTAGAAGCATGATTCAGATATGTACAAGTACAATACAAGCTGACCAAGTACCAGTACTACAATTGACTCAACCAACAAAGTACCTAATAGTTGGTCATTGTCACTGCCACCTGCACACTCACTTGTAACAAACCTCCAGCCCCCAGTACCAACCAGTCCTGATACGTAGATGATGAAGACCCATCCTCCACTTGAATCCAAATACGCCACACCTGGAAACAAAAGCACACTCACAAAAAACGTGGTGACTGTTGACAGCGACTGAAGTAGAAAGGAAAACATAAAAGGCATATAGTAAACACAAACTTTCATTCTGTTGAATCTGTTGAAGGTTGAAACGGTACTGGACAAACACCTGACCCCCCCCCTCCACTTCACTGCCTTCCCAATGTCTTTTCCATCACGACTTCTAGCATTCACCTGATCCTTCTTGACAGTGGACGAAGCTAGCTGCTCGTGCCACAAATGTTCAGCTGCCGGCGGATCCAATCCTAGGATTGTCTCAGTGGGGAAGGAGCTTGAAGGAGCGAACAAAAACTGAATTACATTACAGATGAAATGACTTGGTGAATTGATTGGTGGGAATAGTGGGCTATGATTTTGCTCAAGGCAAGAAGCTCTCATAGGATGGTGCTTGGTTCACATAATAGTCCACAAAATCGGGTTTTGCCATTGGTTTCATCTTTGCAAAACTCTCTGATCTTGATCCAGACTGATTTACCACCTTGATAGCAGAAAAATCCCAAGTCCGTCGCTTGCGGCCACGGCCAAGTCCAGGACACCTTAGTCAGACGGAAGAGCGTCAGATATTCGACAAGTGACTCATGTTAGCAATGAACTGTTTGTTATGTTCCGTTAAAGAATCTAAAGAATCTAGAGTTTGTTAAAGTTTGTTATATCTATTTGTTCGATCTCTTCCCAAGAAAAAAATGAAAATGAATTTGTGACCGAAGTGATCAAACCCCCAATCAGCTGAGATACTCCTCCGAAAAATTCTTTAGGTGTCTCAGAAATTCTTCTGGATTATTGCGCTCCATCGCCTGTAGGTCCGACAACAACTCAGTCGCATTGCGAGCCTTGCTGGCCTGCTGGAACATCGCATCTCTGCTATTGGAGTGGGTACCGCACAGATTCACTGGCCTTGGTGGTGGTATGGTCAAGTGAAACATTAAGAATTAAGAATGCATATAATTGTGATATATCAATATATATATATATATATTATGAATGAACGCATAATTGCGCATGTACGTATGTGTGTACATGCAAGTGCATCATTTAATATTTTGTTGTTTCAGGTTTCAGGTCGTTGTTAGTTGATGCTCTGCTAGAGTTGTTGTTTCTCATCTTCTCGCACTTTCACTCATCATGAACTTCATGAACCATTATCAACGAGTTCAGTGTTTAAGTTTTGACGAGGAGCTTTGTGGTTGAAGTACGGAAGACCATTGTTTTGCAACCATCAACTTGACATTTGACCTTCAAGATACCTGCGCCTGACATGTCTGGCATACTCTTCGACGGTGGGGCTTGGTGATGCCCATCATCTCCAACTTCCACCACTTGACGCTGCTGATCATCATGATCACCAGTTGCCATGTCGATTCCGATTCAAATCAGCTAGTCAACCAACACTCGTCTCAGAACCTCTGACCTAACTCACTCTTGTAAAATCGGCTCGAGCAAAATGCTGAATGGTTTCAACATGTTCAATCTCACCTCACATTTGATGTGATCTGGTGATCTGGTTGGCATTCTCAGTTTTGATACCTGAAATCTAGAGTCTGAATCTGAAGTTGTGAACTGATTGACACTGAACTACCGAATAGGCTCTTCGCATTTTGCTCCAAGGTGCAGCTCTGGCGCAAGCTGCGAAGTCTACCAGTCTCTTGACATGGCTTGGTCCCTTGTCGAGATGCACATTGTGAGGATGATGTGCCTACAAGTGACAAGATATATAAGATTTCCCACAAGTAACATCGATTATCTTTTTTAAAAAAAAATTGGGCTGTTTGAATTCAATTCCTATGATTACTATGATTTCTCGCTCAGGGCATCTGGGCACATCTTGGACGCAATAACTCTATGGACGCTTCAGTGTCAGACCAAATAGTACAGCGCCATGTAGCGAGCCAATGACTGATGTATGCATAGCCTCACCACACATGGGACAATGGGAGGAAAAAAAATGATCATGGACGAGGAAGGTCCTTCGTAACAAAGTTCCAACACTCCAATTACTACACTACACTACACAGAGAAAATAGACCCGAACCAAACCCCTATGATCATATTTCATCAGTTCAACAATGATGCAATTACGTGAAAACGTCTCATGGATCCTGATCCATCCAGACCCTCATGATACTGGGCAATCATTTCAACTGTGGCAATCACTGTGACAATGGCAAAAAACCACCCGGACCGGAGCCTCTTGATGTGGTTTCAACTTGTTCAAAGCCAGGTAACGTTTCCAGCTAAGCGCTTGGAGACTGTACGAGGCGGCTTGTAGCTGAAGACTGGAAACGGGTCAGTTGATCCTGGGATAGGCCATTGGGGAATGCCCATCGAGTGCAGATGTTCCTTGGCAAGCGGGAAGCACTGCAAAAATGTGACTTCCAATGACATCATGATATACATATACAATCATACAATTCATTTCATATAATGATGATTCTGATTCAAGTATCTTTTCACTGATTGGCAATGAAGAGAAATCAGTGCATCCACCACCCCACTGCTGAACATCGCATGACCATGCTATATTAGCTATATGGGGATGAGCTGATGGGCTTAAGTTTATGATGGGCTTGAACTGAGTGACTCCATCTTGCTTGATAGGGAAAGCCTGGGAAACCGCCAGCCAACCAAATTCACCCATCATCCAAGACACAATGGCCAGCAACCATCGTTCAGCCGGGTCAACTGCCAGGCCAGCAATGCGGTCATTGGATCGCTCGATGTCATGCACATTTGGCTTCATCAGCCACATCGTACCTGCCTTTAATAAGGCAGGGAGCCAAGGTCCCACAATTGGCCTCTTGAATGGATTTTGATCTAAATTGCAGACCGTTGCCAATGTGCGAAGCTGATTTGGTCCTAAGCTGATTTGATTCAAAATTAAATTTACCCATTCATCCAGTCCTCCAGGATCCAGCATTGATGTCCGACTGAATTGTGACTACTAGACTCTAGGGACTACTCGATTTTACGCTTTGATTTTTCGAGGTATAGTATAGTATTAGTATAGCATCATATTATATTGTAAAACATAAATATGATCATTATCATATATTTGATACATATGCGATCACATGCGATCACATGCGACATGTGATGTTGTTAAGCAAAATAAACCAAGATTCTCCCTTGACACCGCAGCTTCATTGCCATCTTCTTCACCTTTTTCGAGGTCTTGTAGACGTTGAGCCACACCCTTTTCGTACCTCGGATTCAACGGCAGGTGGCAGTGAGCATGTCATTGGCAACCCTGAAACATGATCGACTATCAATTATCAAATCAACGAATTTCAAAGATTCGCTAAAGAATGTTAACAATGTTGAAGTCAGCCTGGATACTTGGAAGCAAACTGGTAAATGTTGAATCCCTCGCCGACTGGCAATTCTTGTGAGCAAACTCAGTCTTCTCAGCATCCACATAGTCCTACCAGAAAGAAAACCTACCCTGACCCGACTCCGACTCCGACCGAGCAAAAGTACTTCAAGTCTGTCTGAGCTGAGCTGTAAGTAAAACACGAAACCAAAAATACTTCCGAACTCTGAACTCGGACCATTCCCCGCCTGAGGGGCTGCAAAGAGAGCTTCCACCGAAAGGCGTGGCTTCCGAAAAAGATACTGTAAATGGCTGATCCCCTGGGGTAGTTCACATGTGCTGTCACGGGTCAGAACTGAATACCTTCTAGGCCTGTGACATGGCCATCCAAATTGGTGTGGGCTGAGGGTCGTGAAGCGTGTTGGGTCAGACTCCAGTGGAAGCTCATGCAAAGTATAGTTTGCAAGGTATGGTTTGACGACTTCCATCGGAAATCGGGGTGCTGATTCGTGCACCAGGATGTCCTGACATGACATGCCATGTGGATTTGGTTGCAGATCCAATATCCATGCGCACAGCACACAGGACTTTGAACAAATGCTGGAAGTTCTGGAATGCAACTTAATCAATTGTCATATATACATGGATGTACATTCGCACCATTATCATATCATCATTGTCATTATGCCATTGTGTTTTTGTGTTCCATTCCAATTCCAATGTTGATGTGATTCTGTCCACAAACGAAACTGTGATGCTGTCATGGTCCTCACCCACGTATACTCGTTCTGCAACCCATATAGCCAGTGGGATGCCAGATTCACCAAGCAGCCCGTTACCAGACCCTGAGTCAGGTTGAAACAGTACAGCGGGTCTGATGGACATGTTATGAAACAGTCATTTGAAGTTCAACCCAGGAAAAAAATGATCAGCACAATGTCGAAAACATAACCATCCAACCATTGATCATTGACCTGGCCCTCAACCAAGCAACCAATGGTCGAGTGGTCAATGCAGGTGGATCCTGCAATGGCAACTGTGAGCCTTGGCCTTTCAAAGGTTTGCCCTTCCCAAGCGATCTTGTACCCCATGGGCGTCATCGATTCCTGCATGATTCCCAATTAAGCACAACATGATAATGAGTATCAACAGAACAATGAAACTGAAGATAGAATGGAGAACATTGAAAACAAAACACGTGTTTCTTTTGTACATGTACGGAAAACATACCATGTGCCTTTCCGGCAGGTGCAAAGTTTTTGGCTGTGAGAAGAAATACTTCAGGCCCCCCCTCCATCAATATTTCCATATAGCGCCCAAACAGTCGGTGGCCATGATCTTGAATTAAGGCGTTTTCTTCAGCACGATCACCATCTGTCATATAGCCTGGCATCAAGCATCATATGTTTTGTTTGTGCTTAGCTACCTCTCACATACACCATAAAATATTACTATATACTATATACATGCAGTTCGGCCATGATGAAATGAACTTAAAGTGAAGTGACCAAAAGACAATGCTGTACTAGCCAGAGTTGTATCTATATATACACTATGTCATTGCTTGAAGTTCAAAGCAAAAAAACACATATGCCATCAAATGTCTGTGTCGTTGAAAACACTCATTGCCATCAACATACCTAGTAGGACCAGTAACACTTTGATGTTTCAAAGAGCTTTAGCGCATCAGCTCTCGCATCTTTCAATCTTGCCAACACCCGAGGTTGAATGCGGCTCTCCAAGGATCCCAAAACCGCTTTCGGGCGATAGGCCTTGTCAGGGGCTTTGGCTGAGGGCAGCTGTTGGGATCTACATGTGTCTGTTAGTGGATCAGGATCTACATATGTTGATTCAAACAATCTTAGCTACAGCACATGCACCCAATGGCACCTCATGCAGGGAACTCAAAACTTTCTTGCAGTTGTTGTCGGTGTCACACGTCGTGTTGATAATCACAGACCCATTCCCTGGTTGGAGACCTCGAGCAGCTAGTGTACCTTAGGTGGTATGAAACCATGAAACCCATTTAACCATGCTCCAACAACATTGACATAAATGATGCTGACAGGGAACGTTTCATGTGATCATGTTGCATCACCAATGTGACGAATCCAGTACCAGTTCCACTGTAGCTGTCGTTCACATAAATATCATACTGGGAAATGGCCATTGCATTGGCGATGCAAAAATCCCCAACTGAATGGTGGTTGGTCAAGCACGTACAATTGTATGATGGCCAACGGAACAAATCATTCAAGTCTTCAGGGCCATCTGGCCAATTCATTGTGTTGACCTGTCGGGGCATGATGTCAGCGATGTCACAGTCATGTCATGTGGTGCAAGTAGTATTATTGGTGCAAGTAGCATTCTGGTATGGTGATTGATATGACAAGGTGATGAGGTTTGACAATCATAACAGAATCAGATTGATTCCTGCCTTCGATTGCAACATGTTGACGACCTCAAAACTAGTTCGGCCCTGATCGGTTAACTCATAGACATCTCCTTCATCATCAGGCTTCATGTTGCCTTTGAACTCCTGACATCATTGTTGCTTGGCTTCGGATGGATGGGACCAGGAGCTAGAAAACCAACCCCTACCCAGCTCCCCCCACCAAAAAAAAAAAGCAACAACACATTGTCAATTGTCACTAGGGAAAGAAAAATTGTTCATCAAAATGATGCTCCTCAGAATTGCATGAAACCGATTCTGATTCAGAATCTGATGAAGAGCTGCTGTTATCCGATGAACCAGACGAAGAAGGTGAGGCCATGTTGACAAGAAACTTGCCCAAGCACAATCAGCTCAGCACAACCCAATTTGTGCCAAAAGGAACTCGAAACTTCAGATGTGCATGTGCGCTGCAATGACTGCGGCTGATTGGATTCTGAATTCTGAAATGGATCAATCCATGTGGTAATTCAGGAAAAGTTATTGCAACCTTGTGTCCCTAACACACATCTTGATTCAAAAACTTTGTTGGACAAAATGAGAAGTTGGACTTGGACCTGGTTACAATGCCTTAATGTATTCCCAAAATGTTTGTGCTCTCGCCTCCCCATCCAAAAAAAAACAAATATAAGTTTGTCGGGTGTGCAGTGGAGGGTGGTGGCAAAGGATACATAATCTAAAATAAACAAACATAACCATATCTAAGTAGTTTGCCCATTATCCAACAATACAATAGTGGAAAATGATAACTTTATCAAAATGTTGTTCACATCAGACCCAATCTTCAATCAACCAACCAGTTGTAACATTAAACCTTTTTGGACTGATCACAAGTGTGAGAACACCCTGCAAACAATTGGGGAAGCTTACAAACCGTTTGGTCAGCAAATATATTCAATCAAAACCTGGTTTGGCTTTCAAATTCCTTAGGGTTCCAAAAAAACCTTACAGTTCCAAAAAAAAAGGAACTGTAAGGTTAGTCTCAAGTCTCATATTTTTTTTGTGGTATTTTTTTTTTCACCGGAACTCATTTTTAGTTCCTTGGAGGAAAAACCTCCTGCTAAGTCTGTGTTTTACCGGTTTTTTTTAATACTGGGAAATGAAATTCAATTCCTACAAAAATAAAAGTACCACAAAAACAAAAGCAAAATTCACACAAACCTTACAGTTCCTTTTTTTTGGGAACTGTAAGGTTTTTTGGGAACTGTAAGGATTTTCCTGGACCTGTAAGGTTTTGAACAGGTTCGGCATACTTTTCAAACTAATGATATGCTCTTCATATTGTTTCAATCATATGGTCATTTTTTTTTAAGGGTTATGTAGTTTTTTTTGTTTTTTTTGCTGATGTGCTATGTTTTTTTGACAGAACTCTGTGGATATTTATCTTGAATTGTTGATCGGAAATTTCCATTTTTTGGAACTCTAAGGATTTTTTCTTGGATGGTTAGTCAGAAATTTCTTACAGTTCCTTTTTTTTGGAACTCTAAGGATTTTTTCTTGGATGGTTAGTCAGAAATTTCTTACAGTTCCTTTTTTTTTGGAACTCTAAGGATTTTTTTCTTGGATGGTTGGTCAGAAATTTCTTACAGTTCCTTTTTTTTTGGAACTCTAAGGATTTTTTCTTGGATGGTTGGTCAGATTTTTTTTACAGTTCCTTTTTTTTGGAACTCTAAGGATTTTTTTCTTGAATGATTGGTCAGAAATATCTTATTTCCTTTTTTTTAACTCTAAGGATTGTTTTCTTGAATAGTTGGTCAGAAATTTCTTACAGTCCCTTTCTTTTGGAACTTTGATGTTGTTTTTTTGTCTTGGATGGTTGGTCAGAAAGTTCTTACATTGTTTTTGTAACTCTAAGGATTTTTTGTCTTGGATGGTTGGTCAGAAAGTTCTTACATTGTTTTTGTAACTCTAAGGTTTTTTTTCCTTGGATGGTTGGTCAGGAATTTCTTACAGTTCCTTTTTTTTGGAACTCTAAGGATTTTTTTTTTGGATGGTTGGTCAGGAATTTCTTACAGTTCCTTTTTTTTTGGAACTCTAAGGATTTTTTTTTGGATGGTTGGTCAGGAATTTCTTACAGTTCCTTTTTTTTTGGAACTCTAAGGATTTTTTTTTGGATGGTTGGTCAGAAATTTAGTTACAGATCCGGCTTTTAAAACTAGGTTGACTTCTTTTTTTTGACTGACTGTTGTTAAATTTAGTTTGGTATTTGTTGTTATTTGACAAATTTATTTTTGCTTTGTGACAAATCCCATGCTAAACTCGTTCACATCTAGCCAAACAGGCCTGATTGTTTCTGCTATGGTTGCCTCATCCACCCACCCACCCAGCCACCCAACCCACGAAGGGTCAGCCTTGGAATCGAGACATGGCATGTTAGTATTCTTTTTACCAACAATATGCAGTGATTGTAGATGTTGGTATATATCTATCATCTGACTATCAAACTCTTTGGTATATACAAAGTTCCAGTATCACTGCTCATCAAATATCAAACTTGTACCTGTCATTCCTGGAACAAACAAATATTGTTTGTCAATCACGGGTCATGAAATGTTAACTGCGCATCCATCCTGACATTGATTGATTCAAGCATGCGGTCATTGTGGCATCATTTTTTCCAAGTCGAGCAACATCACACACTAATCGCATTGGACACTCATTGTTTTCAACGAGTATTCATCATTGAAAGTCAACATCTACACATGGCAAATACCCCACCATGTGGTAGAAAAACCGAAATGAATATCGGTATGATTTCCTTGAGATTTCCCAATCAGATTAGTGGTATGTGTCAATTCAATAGGAATCTCTATTGTCGGTCGGTCATCGTCATTTTTTGGACTTTGACCAAAAGGTATCCATATCACTTTGATTACGGATAGTGCTCCAAACAATGGCACCCTCATCTTCTGATGACTCACTGTCCTGCCGTGGACGGACCCTACGACCATGACCATGTGGAGGATCATTACTGCCGCTGGTCATTTCAGATGCTGTACGGGTAGTGCCAGCTGCAGGAGTGACTGTGACAGTAGTAGCAGCACCAGTCACCGGCCCCACCATCCCACTGGTCACCCCACCACTGGCTACTGGACCACTGGCCACAGTCACAGAACCAGTAGCCAACTCTGCCGGTGCGGGGGGTGGGCTCGTGCTCGTGGTAGACTCTGATGTCTCGTCATCGGATTCCGATTCAATCCAGTAGAATGGGGAGTCATCACTTCGGGATTCAGCAGCAACAGGTGGTAGTGGTGCTGATGCCAAGCTACCAAAGAAGAAACCCCGAGCAAAAGCCACAAGAGATTGCAAAGCTCGGTAAACGACACCAACCATGATCATTCAGTTGAACGGCAGCAAAAGCAAAAACCTACAATTGCACAATTTGACTTGGAAAATACTGCAGTTAAGTTCAGTACATACATGTCGGTCAATTCAGGCAACATCCTTGAACATTTCATCAGTGTTGAACACCACCTAGTTCATGTTTCTGATAGTGACAGTGACATTGGACACTGTGGCAAAACCTCAGCTGAAGACTTCATTCAAAATTCCATTGCTCAAAAAACTATGTGCAAAGACATTGAACTTGTTCAATTGTCTTGGACATCAATGCTATGACACGATCCGCGCCATGCATCATGAATCTTATGTACTACCAGTTCAGTCCAGCTTACAGAATTCTAAAAATATACAATTGATGCAATGTCAAACATTTCTTTTCATCATGTACCATGTATGTACATACAACTGTCAGTTCGCACAATCAGCCCGGTCGTCATTTCTAAGCCCCATCCCGTTGTCACTTCTGCTAGTGCGGTTAGCAGCACAAGTCACCCACAGAAATGCAACTGTGCCACACATCCAAAGCAATGCTTGCAGCTTTGAAGTGTCAAATAAATATCCATCAACATTTGTACAAGACAAAAGGAAAACTAACATGTTTTTTCCAAAAGTGAAGGGAAATGCTCAGACCCGAGTTCTTGCTCAGGTCGTGCATCAGGTCGGTGTCGATTCTTGTTCACAGTTTTCACAGGTGTATCGAATTGTTTGGCTGAGGTGGTTCGATCGGCCACTGCCCCCACACTGATTGCATGATCACCATGACCACCATGTTGTTTGCTTTCTGATACTCGATGTTTCTTCAACCGACGAATGATACAAGTTTCAGCCATGGAACGCTTGTGAATCACATTGCCCGACCCAAAAGTCAGCACTTCAGAAGCATTACCCAAACGTAGCTCCATGAATCGGAAATGCAACTGGGCCACGAGCTATGACAAATTGGAATCTTAAACCCCAAATGGCTATACGTAGGTCAGGTGTTGTTCTCTTGGACTTGGACTTGCATTGTAATAAATGTGCAATATTCGGTGATCTGCATTTCAAAACACAAACTGACATAAACAGTTTCTGACATTCAAGGGATAAAGGCTGCTGGTTCTCATTTTTTTTCGGTTCTGAGTTCTGACTATCCTTGTGCTCGGCCCCACACACAAGGCTGTGATGACTGTTCATCACATCAAATTATTTGCAGCTAAGTAGAACGACAGTTGTTCCTCCAGCTCCTCTCTTGGCGGCAAGTCGGCTGGAATTACCTTGGGTAAACGGTAAACGGTAACAAGGGCAGATCATGTGATTCAAACTTATACCATACATACACATCACTACAATATTTAGTATACAATGTCAGGAGTCAGGAGTCTGGAGAAAACAACAGAGCATGCAGCATGCTGTCAGGCAACAACATTGTGAACATGTCGGTGTCGAATATCTTCCAGTGATTCGTTTGGGGCTTGCTGCATGTCAAAGCCTGGTGGTGGGGATGGAAATTAGACCCTGGAATGGAAATGAAAATCAGAAACCCAAAACATCTGAATAATGAATAACTCGTTGATCATAACCCGGCCTTGGATCAACCAGAACATTAACGCACGGACATTTGCATCATCGCTGCCACCACGGCTATATTGTTTGCTGCAGCTTCGAGATAATGTACCATGCAGAGGACACCGGACATAGAATGATTTCACCTGAGTAGGGTTAAGCGTGGCACATGACATGATGGATGCAACACTGAAATGATATTCATTCCCTCACAACCGTCAGCCCCAGCCCCATCACAAAAAAAAACACAAAAATGAACAATCACAAACATACAGGCGGCTAGGCTACACCACAAAATGATACAAAGAAAACATCATTCCAAGTAACGCTTTGATCTTTTCTCTCAACAAAGCTCACAGAACCCACCCAAACTGTTGACAAATTCCACATCGATGAAGACCCACCCATCGGGCCCCTTGCATGCCTTGGCCCTCGCACCACTGGCTGTCTTGGCGCCCTCTGACGTTCTTGCAATGGAACTGGTGGGTTTGGTGGCACTGGAACTGGTGGGCCGGGTGGGTTCACAGCAGCTGGTGCTGGTACAGGCACTGCCTCATGTTCTTCATCATCACTGATAACCCAAAGATCTTCATTACCATTATGGTGTTCGTTTTGTTGTGAATGCACCCCCGCCGGCTCTAAGAAATCGTCACCCATTGCAGGTCCCTCTGGTGACAAATCAATTTCCGACTGATATGTTTCAGCATCCGAGCAGTGCCCTTCCCCATCTGAGTCAAGGTCCACAATGTCCGGGTTCGGTTTCTCCAGAACGGGACCCGACTTCTCCTGATCAAGAAGAAAACCTGACAGGGCGTGGGAATGGATGCAAGAAGAAACATGTGACCAACATTCCATATGAAACTTAAAGACAAATCGAAACTTAAACCTGATGACAACACCAAACCATTATCACCTGGCCTGCGTTGTCATCATCACAGTTGGAAAACATCACATGTTTCTTCTTCTTTGGACACTTCTGTTTCTGAAGAAGTAACATGTAATAACTTCGTGGTTGCCATGGGCGGACGTTCGGAAGCTCTGAAGGTGGAACCGTAAGAAGTGCCGTGTAGTAAACTTTAAGCTGCCAATGAAAAATTGACTCGAGCCCATCCCTGAAAAGTCGGTCAGACTCCTTCAAGACTGTCAGGTACTTCTCATTGATCCCACCCTTTTTTGTTTGAGCATGGAAGTACCATACTTTTTCTCCTCCTTCCTTGTATTCCTGTGTTTTCCTTGAAGGGGTTCCACGTTCGAACCTCCAACCTAGTTTGCCAAGCGTCAGAACCAAACCAAAGTCCGTGTTGATGGTGATGTCAGTCATTGATTCCGGCAAAAATTCTGACAACTTTGATGACTGAACTGACGTCTGGGTCACTTGCAACACTGCCAAGCCATGTTGTGTAATATTGAACGTGTCAATGTCAGAACCAGGTCGTTTGGCAACCTTGGTTAGCAATAAATGGTCCAACAATCAGTTACCAATGAAAGTACTCAACCAAAACGGACAATCAGTGATACTCAAACTGGGGATCCACATCCATATGTATATGATTGAAAATGTTGTGGATTGAAATTCTGGTGACAAGACGAGATGCTAACCCTTCACGCAGCAAGAGCTGCAATGCATCATCGTCGGGTCCGACAAAGAAGGAAGATCCAGCCTCCCAGAACGCACCTGCTTCGGCAAAGCGCTGCAACAGTGTTGATGATTCAGGCGATCTCAGGGTGGACAAGGAACACACAATACATAAAAATGAACATGTATTATTGAATGCAGCCTATGCACTGAAACATGTCCCAACACGTCTGCATCCAATATTTCATTTTTTTAATTCAAATTCAAAGGAAAAGAATACCATCCATCAGTCAGGTGACAAAGCAGCATCAACTCTGTAGCTTGTTTCTGAATCATACCACACGAATAAGTTTTTTGATAAGACATCAAAAGGCAATGTTGAGAGGGTCATCGTTGATGGCGGAATGCTCTTGTTGACAGTCGTGATGGAAGAAGGACTTCCGCTTTCTCCAAAATCAGCATCAACAACCAGCATTGATTGGACCATGAAATCGAAACGTATTGGTTGTTCTCCTAGGATCGAGTGATGCACAAGATTTCCTTCCACGGGTCTGAAGAAAAATGTGGTGCTCTTCAATTTCTCAAGCAGATTCGGACGGGCAGGGTTCCGACAAACAATCTCCAAGTTGAAACCGGCATCATCTTCCAGCATCATTGAAGGGGGCTCCTGGGTACCTCAATGTGGGAGCTTGTTTAGGACTGGGCTGGGAACATGATGCGTAGTCAGTCCGCTCAAAAGCTCTGAGAATAATGAACCTGGTCAATCACAATCTGTAAGTCTGAACATGAGAACCAGTTACGACAGCTTGGATAGGATTGCTCAATGGACAATAGACGATCAGCTGTGATGTCAGTTCCAATGGAAAATATCAGAGACGCATCTTTGCTGCTCACCTGCACACCGAAGGAGGGATCAGGATAATGGCATCTATGTATATATGTATAAACAAAATACATTGCACCGGCACCCATACAAACAGCACTGATATATATATATATATACACACACACACGCATACCAATCTGCAGGCATCAACAGGCAGGTACTTCTGTACATTACTGCAGCTGCTTAACTATGTTGATGATTCGGCAAAAACAAAACATATGATTGAAAGCGAATAAGCATACAGTTACTAGCTGAACCGACTATCCATGGCAAACTCTTTGCGACGTGTCTTTCTGAGAAGGGGGCAGGGGGCCTGCACCAGATAGGCAACCAAAGCCTTTGAGAGAGGATCTGAATCAGCTGCATCTTCATCATTGTTCTGGTTTTCCCTGTCCCTCAGGGAAGTCACAGGTTTGCCAGCAATCTCTGTAGCAAGACGCTTACGATTCCCATGTTTGATTTTGATGTTGTCACGGTACACCAATTTTGCAACATCGGAATCTGACAACCGGCTGAGCATTGCGTTCAGCATTGGGCTTGGCTTGAGGCCAATCAAATGCCTAGGCCATAACCACTGACCCCCACACCCCTTCTCCAAAACAAAAAATGGCATCAAAATATGGGCAGGATTTAGAATATATGATACTATGATAGTTGATACTGGGACCATCCAACCAGCATGACAAGGTAAAACTGAAATGAACTCTGAACTTGAACATTTGATATGAAAACAAAGGAACAACACTGAGGACCATGCAGTGTGGCATGTCTGAAACCCTCGCTGGTCTCCATCATGTTCAAATTCTGTTGGATTTGCATCAAAGCCTGCGCAAAGATGACAGTCGACTGACAATGTTTTGTTATTTTTGCAAGCATCACATCACGTACCTGCATGTGCTTTTAAAAAAGGCAGTATGTATACCATAGTGCATATTTGATATGTATAATATATATATGTGTGTGTATTGTATAGTGTATGTAAAGTGAAGTTGAGGGGCCATTGGCCGGCCTTTGGTTCCGTGGATGCAAGCTGCCGTAGGTGGTGGAACCGAAGTTCGCAGCTGATGTATGCAAGGTTGCAATGGGGTGCCCTTCTCAAAATCCTGTGGATCAATGAATGACGACCTTCCACCGAGCGTTCAGCTACTCTGACCTAGGCTAAGGAAACATGATTCACTTCTATATATAGTCAAAAAATATATAATGAGTCAAAAAATATATATACATACGTTTATACATACATATATATATATATACAGACATACATACATACATACACACATACATACACATACATACATACATGCATACATACATACATACATACATACATATCCACAAAGTGCAATTATAAGTTACAAGTTACAAGACCAAACAACACATATAACTCTATATATATGGATTCCATATACGTAATAATACATAGCCTATAAAGATGTATATTTGTTCATGCATAGATGTGTGACAACGCATGACTGAAACGTGGATGAATCTATCAGTGGCAGTGTGCTGGAATAGAAGTACCAACATCCAAATCGAACTAGGCCCCCCACCAATCGGAAACCACTCAGCCAGTAGAACAGGCTTTGCACTCTGGGAGAATCTTCGGACATCAGGCTCACCAGGGTAATGAACCCACCAGCTAATTGCACAAGAAGGGGACGTAATGGAGGGTCGGTCGGGTCACCATCCCCCATCAATCCGGCGAAAGATGGGTCACAGAACCGTCTTGACTGGGTGTGTTTTGAACACGAACTGTTGGGTGCAGCATCAAAGAGCCTGAGACATTTTGCTGCTACTTGTCGAACCTGCTCGGCATCTGGATGGGCTAAGCCGCCTCAGATCAGATTGACTCCCCCACTCAAGCATGAGGTTTTTAGTGCACGGTTCAACAGTTCCCAGCAATATGTAAGACTCGCCATAGACTCACATTGTATACCACACTTGCAATCACCACAATGGTGTCGAAAACACCTTGTTGTAACTCGGTAATGTTGGAAGAAACACAACAGGGAAAAAACCTTACCAAAAAATCACAATCAAACATTTAACAAAAAAGTGTTTCCGGAAACGCATGGCAAATGTATGAACGAAGTTTGAATCTGAGTTTTTGGCACAAGAGCCAGGGCAGTTGCCTCCAATGCGCCAACTTCATCATCAACTGTCCTGAGTTCAACATGAACCAGGGCGGGTCAGAGTCAAAGTCAGTCAGAGCCATCAAAACCAAATTATCGACCGTCATGGAACCACATCCACCAACCGTAAAAAACACCAACACTTCACATAAGTCTAGCCCAGCTAGAAGAAAGTCTTGCATCAAAGGATCCCCAAAGTCGTCCCATTGCTTTTCCAAATGTCCCCAGAAGCTCGACTCTTTTTTGGGGTGTCGTCTGACTGATGCTCTCTGTAAACTCATAGAATCTCTTCTTTAGGAACGATGCTTGCATGTTCATCGCTTGACCTGTTGCCAACTCTGGGGCTCGACAGCACTTCAAGCAGCAATCAGCAGCACCTGGTGGCATCATCTTGACCCGTCTCTTTCGTGCTCTCTTTGGTGCAGCACTCCCTGCCCATGCGTGCTGGGGACACGGACAGGACTCAGCCCATATGCCTAATCTGTCTGATTCTTTGGCAATATGGGCGATCAAGGATATGCATGACCATGCATAGTCGGAAGACATCAGCTCTGAAATGTTTGCCACTGTAGGTCGAGAGGATTCCTCCAAGAGAAATGGTGTACGTTTTTTGCTTTTGTCTGCATTTGAACTGGGTGTGGATGCCGATACAAAGTTGTTCGTGTTCCAAGCTCTCCGCAACATATCTTGGATCGGCAATACCTGTCAATGAGATTCGAATGACATCATCATTGCGTGAGTTTCCATTGACTGAAACTAAAACACAACTTGACTGGCCATGAAAGTTATAGTTCTGTTGCTAAGCTGCAGCAACCATATACATGAAGAACAACATAACATAGCTCCAAAATGATGCTGTTTTTGATGTTCATACATTGAACACTCATTGGCAAAATAACTAACAAAATCTACAAAATTGAAGCTAGGAACCGCTTGGCAAAAATTTGCAACCGCTTGCCACCGGAGTCCCCTCAAATGATCTTCACTCCAAAACTCCACGATGTCTTTATCAGGGTGTTTCTCAAGACATGTAGCCACAAAGCGCTCCCTCCATGTCACTGAGCTCAAAAGCGTGTCTAATCCCTGTAGCAAGGGAAGAAGCGGCTTCCACCTCACATGGTGGCTTCTAAGGGCCCAACATGACCAAGAATATAAAAGAAGAACACAAGCTACCAGCTACCAGCTGAACTTGAACGATGACTTGTTACATGTTCAAGAAAAAATGCTTTCAAAAAATGGAACAATGGTCAAGGGGCTGTGGAATGTTTTGAAGCACACTACCAAGGAGGTTGTCACAGATATGCTTCAACCCCGTCACGGGTATAGCATTGGGGAACAAAAACAATGCCCGTGAGCGGTCATCCAGCAACGCCCGTTGAGGTTCAGGAAGCTCGGCATCTTTGGGCAGTGCTGGCTCCACGGTGTCCCTAGGAGCAGGTGAGCTGGCCTCCCTTCCGCCCATAATGTAATATAATATATAATATAACGGAAAACATAATATAATAAAATATGATTTAAAAAACTGAGAGATAACACAATATAAATACTTTGGTGCCTTGATACATTGTAGTAAAAATGCACAATTTTCCAATATGATGCACATCGGTTACATACATGTATGTATATATCTCATCAAAGCATGTTTCATTTTCTAAGTGTATACTATACGTGTATACTAGTGTATACTATGCAGACAGCAGATTGTTACAAATTGCTGACAGTTGTTTCATATCTTTGGACGTATGACCCTGCCTCCTATGTTCGTTTGTCACTGTGTTCAGTGGATCATCTTCGTCATCCAGTTGTAATGGCTTCATTGACAGTTGAATGCCAGTGTTGAAATTGAATTGCACATCACTCATGCCATCGATTGCCAGTCTGTCACCTATTTCTTGGGCAACATCAACATCTTGTAGATCATTCAATGCATCATCGGACAGGCCCTGCACATCCACTTGCACGGCCTCTGCTAATTTGGCTTCTGTGCCTAGGCAGAGTCAGAGGAGTACGCATGCGCGCATACCCCCGGTAATCCACAAAGAAACAAAACCAGACGCTAGCTAGACTAACTAAACGAGCTGAGTTGGCTGAAATGAAATTGAATGAAACAAAACACACATGAGTCATGAGTCTCCTAGACTCTCCTAGGCTACTAGTAGCTTAGCAACATTGACTATTGCTGCATAAAGACCTTGGTCGCTCAAACAACTGACTACTTGTTCACCATATCGTGCTAGATCATGTTGTCGATCTCCTTGATCACACTCCAATGCCAAGGTCCACAACAATGCATCGAGCTTGTTGACAAAGGTAGTCGCTCCTCGGAAAGTGGATTCAACATTTGGGCCCGTACAGTCTGTACAGTCCAGTTATTACAGTTACAGTGATACAGTAAACTTTAACAATCACAAAAAATACAGAACATTATTGTTACTTGACTACTTTTCCCTCGGAGTCCTACTGTCCTACCACCAAGATTGAAGGAACAACCATGACAAGTGGGTTTGGATGTGTTTCTTGTTGGGCCAAGACTAAGACGAATAAAATGGTACCACTTTTCATTTCCCAAGTCACCCTTGCCCATGCTCACCGTGGGAAGTATCCGAACATCCGTTTTCAACTCACACCCACTTCCAGTATCTAATCCAACGAGGGCCCCTTCGGTCGCTTCATCATCAACCTCCTTCAGTTGGTTTGCTGCCACAGTTTTCAAATCCAAGACTGCGTCGGAGACCCTGGCGCAAAGCATCGGAGAGACTAGGTTATTCTTCAATAATCCAAAACTGAGGTGAGGAGTGAGGAGGGTACAGTTTTTAAATCAGTTGATTATCATGACATCAGTCATCATGCGACTGCGTTGATGCCCATGCATATGGCCTGGTTGTGAACTCCTCAACGACAAACAACTCTTTGTTCTGAGTGGTAGCGTCATAGCCTTGGCAGGGCTTAACACTACTGCATGAATGCATGATGTTCTATTTTGATAATCATGACATGACATGTTTGGTTTTTGTCATATGCCCATTGCCCATGATCAGTTCCCATGTTGAAACTTGACTCTGCCTGCCGTGAAATCATCAATGAAACTGACCTTTGCATCATAACTTCATTATGTATGTATTGGCAGTGATTGGCAGCCAAATCAAAAACAACATGAATTGAACCGGGTTGAAATTCAAACTTGAAACTGCACGCATTTCATTCCAACTAATGACGAAAGTCCAGCAACACAAGGCAATGTGTTTCTTCTTGAAGCCATCTCGCACCCACTGCCAGCGCCGGACATACATACCCAGAATGTCCACCTTGTAACGGGCCCTGCTCAAAGTTGCTGAGGATGGTCCGGCTGGGACGTCTACCTGGTAGCGCTGGTGACTTTTGATGACAGTCTGGCAGTCTGATCGGTTTTTGAGGTTTCACTTTTTGTTTCAAATGATGTGCATGTGCAGTGTGTGCAGGTGCAGGTCTTGGTTATGAATCTTAACTCTTGGAGTATCATTACTTACCACAGATTATTATCACCATATATACATATACATATACATATACTATATACTAGACCTATAACCTATACACAAAAATACATTATTATAGAAGTAGTCTCAGCTTCGCCCGCCCATGTAACAGATTCACAACATCCCAATTGCAGCGGCTGCGGCTGGGGCTACCGACTGTAGCATTTTCCAAATCCAACCTGCCAGTGGCCAGTTGAATAGCAGTACTCATCGCCAGTTGAAATCGATCAGCGCTCCGAAGATGGATGTTCCTTTGTGGTCATGGCTATGGTTGGACCTGGTTGGAGGGGGGGTTGAATAATAAATAGCCCAGGCCCACACCCACAGCCATGACATGACACTGACAAAAAGTATAAGAAGTAGTAGCATCACAAAGAAACATAAAGCTAAGATAATTGCTAGCTAGGTGCAACGACATGGCATGGTATAGCTGCAGCAAGCTGTACGCAGGACGGCCGCCCGTTTGCACACTGGGTCGCAACATATCTGAATTCGGTCTTTGTGGCTGGTACCCTTTGATGTTGACAATGATCAATGCAGCTGCCTTAAAGGCTTCCACCTGGTTCGAAAAGCTTAGCATCATGTCATGTTCGGACAAGTTTCAAACGCTTTAACCTATTTGTCAATTCTGGCCCTGTGGTCAATTCAGTCAAATCTTGCATAGATCAAAAAACCCTTGTTGGATCGAATCTAACCCCTATTTGGATCGAATCTAACCCAGCCTCCTCTTTGACACCATGTTGCAGAACAGGGCGTGCACAGTCCAACATCAGCTTGAAGGCTGCGTCTGCAGTCTCTCTGATATGCTGAAAAGCGCTGGCAGCATCTTGCTCTGACCACACCATGGTCCAGCATTGGCCAACAGGTTTGGGATTTGTTTCTTTGTTGACTTGTTTCTACATGTTACATGACATTGGTTCCACAGGTTCAATGTTTTTACAGTCTATGTTTATGTGTTTCTATCCGTTTAAACCTGTATATCACAATGTTTCTCCTTTTGTTGGTAGTATTCATTGTTCATAATTGTTTTTTTTCTCTTTGTTGAATTTGGTAATGCATTCATTGTTTAAGGATGCTTTCGTTTACAGAACATACTGCGTAGTCATCAATTGGGCTGTTTTTCTGACCCTTGGGCCGCAGCTGAAACCTAGACTGGGTCTTGTAGCAATTCCGGAATTGATAACATTAAGTACATAAGCAAGCATGAACGTGTAAATGATTTGTATTTTCTGAATCATTGGTTTAGACTCTTTTTGATCTTATATGATATATCGAAACCTTATGGTCCCTTTCCACCTGAACCACCCCTGACTTATGAAATTTAGCAGTCCGGTGTGACATTCCACACCTTCAAACCTGGACTCGACACAGATAGCGGTCAAAATGTGAGACCCTATATACCTTGGATCATTTTTGGAGGGCCATATACCATATATCCATCCATAATCCATCCATAATCCATCCATAATCGAGGATCGCAGGGCCGAAAGACCGCAAGTCCAGGGATGGAGCGGAGAGAGCCCAAATGCTCCACAGGTTGATGAGTCGGTCCATCTTCACCAACACCTGGAACTGACCGCGCCGATGCTTGAAACGAAACCAAAATAGGAAGGTCGAGAGGATGTCTAGGTTCAAATATGTTCAAATGCAATACCACGCATTGGGTCTGGCTGGATATTGCTTGTTCTCCCCTGGCATCACCCCACCCGACCTATCGAGTCATGTGTAAAAACGAAGATGCATGGCGTCTCCATAATCGCAGACAGCCGGATTGGCGGTCTCATGTAGTCACTAAAAACCTCAGCACCATATTGAGCATTGGCTTAGGTCCAGAGCGATAGCCACAGCAACATCAAGTCAAACCATGAAGCGATTTCCTTTCCCGAGCAGAATGATTCCCAGGAAGTCCAAGTGGCCAGGAAAGTAGCACCGAAAGGCCGTAGTTTGCAGAGGGCCAAGCCGTTCATGATGGAACCCATCGCATGCTCTCGGATTCCAAAATGAAGGTTTCCTTTCGAAGCCCAAAGAACGAATCCACCAGCCCAAAACAGTCCATGATTGAAATCTGTTTCTAATCTTTCCGAGTTGCGCCCAGCATATTGGCCCCACCTTGCCATTGAACACAGTGTTACATGTGATTTCGGTTGAACCGCGGAAGTGGAGCTCCCAAAGTTTGATACTTCGGCTACAGCCAGTGCTTCAAGGTCACTGGCTCCCCGGAGGCATGAAGTCGTCCATGCCCTTCAGCCTCAGCACAAAAAAGTGTCCTGATTTTTTGGAGCAAAAAAAATGCATTTCAGAAACGTGGGCTTGGGTCATTTCTGGCAATAAACCATGCCAGGTCAGGTTTCATGCCTTTTTTGCCATGCCCACATTGGCTTTGAAACTGACTTGAAGTCTTCCATCCCAGTTTTCCAAACAGCAGGGATCAAACAAGGCGAGCTGAAAATTCCCCGTTTGGTACGATGATTTTCCAGTTGCAGTATCTATAGGCGGATTTCACAGCCAGCGATGTTTAAGTTTGATTCCCAGAGGATATATATATATATACCATATCTGGAAGATTGATGATGAACGTGGATGAACTATACCATTTTGGGACCGACCAAAAATGTGTCTGGTATGCATCGTCTTCATCATTTTGGAGCCTTGACCTGCAGCTGTTTTCTCATGGTCAAACTTTAGATTGATTGATTCCATTGCTACATGAATTTGTGTATTCTCTGCATATCAGACAGCTGCTCTTCCACTACCTTCTAGATATCAGCTTTCTATTTTCCTGTTTTCAGCTGGTAATGTTTGCAGGTTTTTTGAAAGGTGATCCATTTCCTGTGAGTGAAGGTCAAGGGATCATCCGCGCACGCAAATCCAGATCACATGTACACGCAGAGACCTTTTTCTAGCCTTACGATCATCTGTGAGTGAACATGTTCAATCCGTTTCTTTCGAACCATTTCGCCTTTTTCAACCAACTACACAGTAATTTGTGAAAATTGTAGAAGGGGCAAAGAGAAGAACGTCCTCCAACCCCTGAGATGTCTGGCATTGTCTGTCACACAAGCCGTGCTGTTCACCTTCAACAAGTCCAACCCTAGCCATGGCACGTGGTGAGGCAGGAGGTTGCCAAATCTGCAGACCCACCCAACAGCCAAGGGACTCCTGTCGCAGCAAACCACAAAGGCAACTTTCAGAGTCCTTGCGAACTGTTTTTCCTTAAGCAGTTCAGCTAGATTTGCTAGATGAATTAGATGAAGACAAGATTAAGGAAAACAGAGTTCCAGAGTGAACAAATTCGGCTAGGAACCTGTTCTTGTCTGTTCTTATCTGGTCTTGATCAGGCTAAGAAACAGGATAAGATTCACCACCAAACTGGCCTTTCCCAATGAAGTTGAGACATTCGCTGGAAGATTGTCGGGTCGCAAGGCCTTTCGCATCCTCAGAAGCAACAGCAGCAATGGTCATCAACTCATCAACTCATCCAAAATCTACAATCAACCTGGACATGGCTCAAATTTATTGACCCCCCCATGTTGATTTGGGATGATGGCTAAATACCATTGGGATCATCAAAAACCTCAAATCAACCATCTGAGTATCAACAATTGGGATGGCTAAATACCAAAGAGTAACAATTGTTGATGATACTCAGACCATCCACCTGCCCATCGCCGAGCTTCAGCTGGGAATGGCTTGCAGTATGAGTCCCACCCCTGCAGGTTTCAATCGCATATGTCTTCCTATAGTATGTATATGTATATATGTATGCGTGTATATATATATATACATAACGTACAGATGGTGTATGTATGTATGTATGTATGTATGTATGTATGTATGTATGTATGTATGTATGTATGTATGTATGTATGTATGTATGTATGTATGTATGTATGTATGTATGTATGTATGTATGTATGTATGTATGTATGTAGTATGTATGTATGTATGTATGTATGTATGTATGTATGTATGTATGTATGTATGTATGTATGTATGTATGTATGTATGTATGTATGTATGTATGTATGTATGTATGTATGTATGTATGTATGTATGTTGTATGTATGTATGTATGTATGTATGTATGTATGTATGTATGTATGTATGTATGTATGTATGTATGTATGTATGTATGTATGTATGTATGTATGTATGTATGTATGTATGTATGTATGTATGTATATATATACACACACATTGATATATTAGTATAGCGCCCCAAAATTGATGGGAAAATGCGGTTCCTTAGCTAAACAGCCCGCAAAAGAGGTAGTGCACACTACTTTTTTGGAGTTGAGTTTTCAAGAAACCCATCATGGTCTGCATGGTCGTATCAAATCCTAATTTTCCTACATCATACAAGAATGGCTCAACATTATATAACCCATCTGCTTTGCAGTAACCGTATCTAACAGCAGAGCACCTCCGGAAGCTTCCCAGAAATCATATCCTGAAGGATCTTGCCCTGGGAAACCAGGAAAAAAGAATGGAATCAATGGATCTCGCAGCGCACAAAAATGATTGCCCCACCTCCTCTGGATAAGTGTTCTGGAAGGTGGCAAACATCTTGTCCCACTCCTGCGCAGCAAAGCTGGCTACAAAAAAAAGATTGGAAAAGGTGGAAATCCTTGGTCTCCAAGTAAGTCTGACTTCGGGTCAGTTTTGAAGTTTACCCACAGCTACATGCCTGAATCTTTTCATGTGAATTTCGGCTGCTGGAAAGGGGCTAGTATTCTTTCATTGGGCATAATAGGTTCCCAACAGAAGTACCTGTTGGGTTTCAACTTCTGGGTCTGGGAGTGGTGCGATGTTTACTTATTGGCCCTACAAACTGGAACGGAACTGGAAACCTGGAACCTGGAGCATAGCTGGCTTCATCGGCTATACTGGTAGTAATGGCTCCGCACTATTGATCCCAAACAGACCAGGACACGAGCCAAGTACTACTAATGACGAATCATATGATGCCCCTTTCTGAACTTACTGGGTTTTGGGATGTTTTGGGAATCTCCCTACAATTCTCAAAAGTCTGCTGGATATCCTTTGATAGCCCGACTTTTTGAGCCAGCTGGATTTGTGTCAAGCTTCAGATCCAAACCACTGGATGCTCCTTGCGAGAAACACCTCCTTGCTCTGCCATCTGGATTCCTAGCAGCTGAATGAGTTGTTTCAACCCCCTGAAGATGATCAAAGATACCACCTCATTATGAGATGATTCTAGATATAGGTATAGATATAGATATAGATATAGATATAGATAGGTATTTAAAAAAAAAAAAACACACCACCTTGTCCAAAAATTGTCATCTTGGAAGCTGGGTTAGTCATGTTCACCCACTCTGAGCCGGGCTACGGAAGTGCTTTTTCACCTCCTCCGGCACCTGCGAGGGATGATCACTCATCCTACCATAGAATCTGACATCCAAGCGAATCTACGCTGTTAGTTGTGTCACACAAATTGCCGCCGGCACCAGGAATTTCTCATCTGGCCAGTCGTAGATGTGTTTGGTCGCCTCAGCTGCTGTTTGGTGCGCCATGGCTCTCAGTGTTTCGTCAGCCAAGTGGCTGTGACTTCCTTATCACCCAGTGGAGTGCCATGTGCATGGAAGGAGTCCTGCAACGGAGTTGTTATCTCATGAAAACTATGGAAAAACCAATCATAAACTTCAGAATGTCCATGAAATTTCCGACATTTCAGAAATATCCATGACATTTCAGAAAAGTCTCACATCTGCTTCTGCTTCTGCCTGCTTCGTTGGAGCTCCCCAGGCAATGTGCGAATCCACCACGATTAAGGTTGGTCTTTCTTGCCTGGTGTCACTTGAAGCTAAGACAATCTGGATTTTTCCAACAATTGGAGTATCCCGCAAAATCCCTTCTGCGTTAACACCTCATTTTCTCTATTTAAATTTAAATGGCCTTATATTGGGGGGTATACCATTTTCAGACACCTGAGTTTCGAACTCGCGTCTGAAACTCAGAAAGGCACGAGTGAGGGCCTGCGTGGCATTGGTAGACCTGGTAGTCCCGGGTCTGGCTCCAAAATGATCACCTCCCAAAATGGTGTTAGATCCTAAGACATTAAGAATTATCAATGTGTCTCAATTTTATCTGTCCGGTGATTTGGCTTACTGGAAATAAACTAATTGTCAGTTAGATGTGATTCTTTCATATGTACATATACATACATATTTATATATATATATATACATAGTGTTTGTGTATATATATATATTTACAGTATATATAGTTTATATACATATAGTGTATATATATATGTATATAATGTAATTATATGTTTATATGTTATAAATTTTGAAATATAGAGTGTATATATATAGTATATGTACTATATATAGTATATAATGTATATATAGTAAATATATTATATATATTATAAATATTATATATATTATATATATTATATATATTTTATATATAATATATATTATATATATTATATATATAATATATATAATATATATTTTTATAAAATATATATTATATATATTATATATATATTATTTATATTATATATTATATATATATATATTATTTATATTATATATATTATATATAATATATATTATATATTATATATAATATATATTATATATTATATATTATATTTATTAAATATATTATATATATTATATATATATATTAAATTATATATTATATATATTATATATATTATATATATTATATATATTATATATATTATATATATTATAAATATATTTTATATAATATATATTATATATATTACATTTATTATATATATTATATATATTACATATATATATTATATATATTATATATATTACATATATATATTATATATATTATATATTATATATATTATATATATTATATATTATATATATTATATATATTATATATATTATATATATGTATTATATATTTTATATATATTATTTATATTATATATATTATATATATGTAGAGTAAATATATATATATATTTAGTATAGATATAGTAAATGTATAGTATATATATATAGTATCTATAAATATTATTTATATAGTATATATATATATAGTATATATGTAGTGTATATATATAGTATGAATATAGTATATATATATTGTATAAAAATTGTTTATATATATGTATGGTGTGTATACATATAGTTTATATATATATATGGCATATAGGAAAATAAAAGTAAATAAATATATATATATGTCTTTATTTATAAAGTATATATATATAGTAAATATATTTATAAATAGTAGATGTATAGTGTATATATATAGTGTGTATATACAAAGTATATATATACATATAGTAAATATATATAGCGTATATGTAAAAATAGTATATACACAGTGTATACATATAGTAAAAATAAAGTATATATATATTTATAGTATATAAGTATAGTGTATACATAGTATATGTATATACACTACATATATAGTGTATATATATATATATTTACAGTAGATATTTATAGCACATATGAAGTGAATATATAGTATCTGTTTAGTGTATATATATATATATTTATTAATATGTTTATAGTAAAAATATATATAGTACAAATATTTTTTTAGTATATATATATACTAAACCTATTACATATATATATTACATATATTTATAATATATACTAAAAAATATATTATATTATATATAGTAAAAGATATACAATATATATTATATAGTATAATATTTACAATGAATATAGAATATACAACTTTGCGATATATATAATATAAATTATTTTTTTGATATACATAAAATAATCAAAAACATATCATATATAAAATAAAAATAAATAGAATATACAAAACAATCTAAAATATAAAATATATATTATATTTAATAAAGAAAATATAAATAATATATAATCATCATACATATAATATAGAATAGATAATAAATACAAGTTAATGTATCAAATATAAAATATAAATATATAATATATAATATATTTTAAATTTTAATATGTATATATATATGAAATGTAGTATACTATACTATATATATACACAATAAAAATAGATGATATAATATAATATATTTAAAATATATATAATATATGATGATAAAACATATAATAATATTATATACAATATTGAATTTTAATGTTATATACAATATTAAAAAACAATATATATAATTTAAAATTTAAAGTAATTTTCATTATATATAACATTTATATTATTATATATATTATATATTATAATCTATATATAAGCATACATGCCCATTTTTGTTGGTCAACTACCCTTAGACTTTCTCCTTAGGTCCCAAATGACGCCTCCACGTCATTGGCATCGCCCACCCTCAACACATTCCAGCCGTAGGCGATGAAACGTGTCGGCAAATCTTCAGACATCGCCCAGCTCGGCAGCGGATGCAGCGGATGCAGCTTGCAACATCCAGATTAATAGCTTGAAAGGGCGGAAGAAGCAACAATAAATGGTGATTTCATGGGACCTATTGGGATTTACCATCTGGCAATTTGTAACAGGTAACGGCAACGGTTTGCAAACTCGAAACTTACCTTTTGTTTATCCAATTTTGATATGTAAATCATCTATAAATGGACCAAGAAATTTGGATTTGACATGAGTTGAAATGTTCAACAAGCAAAAACTCTGGATTTGACATGATTTTTGGGGTTTCTATGACAACAGAATCAACAGTTATAGGAAATGTGAGGCAAATACATACAGTCAATACATATCAAGAAGATCCAACAAGCTCGGTAGGGTTCCAAGTTTGTCAGACCCCAAATATCAACCGATTGCTTGGTCACTTTGGGGCTACCCAATGTTGACCCATACCCAAAATGATCTGCCATGGTTCAGCCAGGGCGCGCAACGTTGCCCTCAATGGTAATCTGGTTGTTATCCCAAATCCAACCTTGGAGCAGAACGGAACATCAGGTTTTTGCCGTTCAAATGTTCAGGCAAACTCGTGCAATGGCTTGACGGAGTTGGCAATCTGAGTCAAGACACAGAGGTTGTTCAATTTGAGGTGGCCTGACATGCAACAGGCTCCTCCGCCCTATTTCCGTGGACCAACTTTGCTCTGATTGACAGTAAGTGAGTGCCATAAAGCTGGCAACTCAGCCGTGTCCCACCTGCTAGGCTCGCTGCCTCAGAGCTCAGCCCCTCCTGGAGAAATTGGAAACATGGGAACAAACCAATCGAAAACTGGAGGTACCATGGGTTACTATGGTTACTATCGGGTACTATGGTTCACTATGGTATACTGTGGTTTACTATGGGTTACTCTGGGTTACCCTGGGTTGCTCTGGGTTGCTGTGGGTTACTATGGGTTACTATGGGTTGCTGTGGGTTGCTGCAGGTTACTATGGGGTAGTGTGGGTTACTGTGGTTTACTATGGGTTACTATGGGTTCCTATGGGTTACTAAGAGTTACTGTGGGTTACTATGGGGTACTATCGTTTACTTACTAAGGGTTACTGCGGGGTACTATGGGTTACTATGGGTTACTGTGGGTTACTACGGGTTACTTTGGGTTACTGTGGGTTACTACGGGTTACTATGGGTTACTGTGGGTTACTATGGGGTACTATCGTTTACTTACTAAGGGTTACTGCGGGGTACTATGGGTTACTATGGGTTACTGTGGGTTACTATGGGGTACTTTGGGCTACTGTGGGTTACTATGGGTTACTATTGGGTTACTATGGGTTACTATTGGTTACTGTGGGTTACTATGGGCTACTGTCGGTTACTGTGGGTTACTGTGGGTTACTATGGGTTGCTCTGGGTTACTGTGGGTTAATATGGGGTACGGTTTACTTACTAAGGGTTACTGTGGGTTACTATGGGTTATTATGGGTTACTGTGGGTGACTGTGGGTGACTATGGGTTACTGTGGGTTATTGTGGGTTACTGTGGGGTACTATGGTTTACTTGCTAAGGGTTACTGTGGGTTACTATGGGTTAGTGTGGGTTACTGTGGGTTACTATTGGCTACTATTGGTTACTATGGGTTACTATGGGTTGCTATGGGGTACCATGGTTTACTAAGGGTTACTGTGGGTTACTATGGGTTATTGTGGGTCACTGCTGGGCACTATTGGCTACTATGGGTTACTGTGCGGAAGTTTCAAAAATAAGAGACCTATAGGAGAGGTTGGTTGTTGTGAATCAGGGATGGCAGAGCGAAGCCACTGATGGACCGAAAGGTGCTTGATCTCTCTTTCTCTCTACCTACCTCTATCTAGCTGTCTAGTTTTCTAGCTGTTTGTCGATCTATCTATCTATCTATCTATCTATCTATCTATCTATCTATCTATCTATCTATCTATCTGTCTATATATCTATCCATCTATCTATCTATCTACCTATCTATCTATCTATCCATCCATTTATCTCTCCATCTATCAATCTATCTATCTAACTATCTATGTATCGATCCATCTATTTATCTATCTATCTTGGTATCTAAGTATCTGTCTATCTGTCTATGTGTCTATGCCTCTATCTGTCTATCTATCTATCTATCTAACTGTCTATCTATCTATCTATCTCTCTCTCTCTCTCTCCCTCTCTCTCTTTCATCTGTCTATCTGTCTAGCTGTCTAACTGTCTATCTGTCTATCTGTCTATCTATCTCTCTACCTATCTACCTATCTATCTATCTATCTATCTATCTATCTGTCTAGCCATCTATCTATCTATTTACCTTTCTATTTATCTAACTATCTATCTATCTATCTGTCTGTCTGTCTATCTATCTATCTATCTATCTATCTATCTATCTAATCTATCTAATCTATCTAATCTATCTATCTATCTATCTATCTATCTATCTATCTATCTATCTATCTATCTATCGAATCTATCTATCTATCTTTCTATCTATCTATCTATCTACCTAGCTACCTAGCTATCTAGCTATCTAGCTATCTAGCTATCTATCTAGCTATCTATCTGTCTATATATCTATCCATTTATCTATCTATCTACCTATCTATCTACCTATCTATCTATCTATCTATCTATCTATCTATCTATCTATCTCTCTCTCTCTCTCTCTCTCTCTCGCTATCTCTCTGTCTGTCTATCTCTGCGAGAAATTCTGCGAGACTTCCTTAATGTTTGTACATAACAACGTCCAAAACGAAATTCTGCGAGACGTCTTCATTTTTTGAACTTGACAACATCCGAAACGAAGCAATTCTGCGAGACTTCCTCATTTTTCGAAGTTCAAGACATCAAAAACGAAAGAATTCTGCGAGACTTCCTTCAAAAATGGAAAGTTGAGTGCAGAGCTGACAGCCTTGCTCCAATGCGTTTTGCGATTTTTCCAGTCCACCTGTCTAAAGTACTGCGCCTGCCACGGAAAATTGATGCCAGGTCATACGAAGTGCTGCACCTGTCACGCAAAATCATCTTCGCAAACCTGCACATCTGATACTCCAAAATGCAACCCCTCTCAGGAAATCAGCGCCCTGACCTCCTAACATCTCTCATGAACATGTCTTTTGTACTGTGCCTGCCACGGAAAATGCATCTTTGCAGATCCTCTTCAAATGTCCCATGCCTGCCATCGTTTTTGGAAATGCTGCAGAACCCTCACGTTTTGCTCACTTTTGAAGAGGTGCACAATCCCTTGCGCCTGCCGCGCGAAACGACATCTGAACCTCCAAGAGTGGTCCGAACCCCTAGTGCTTTGTACATTTTGACTTGGAAATGTGCTTCGCGCCACAACGGCGTGCACTTTTTCGACATCTCAACTTCCAAAAGCGGTCCCACACTGAGGTGCTTTGTACATTTTCACTTCGAAATGTGCTTCGCGCCACAACGGCGTGCACTTTTGCGACATCGCAACTTCCAAAAGTGCTCCGAGACCCAGGTGTTTTGTACATTTTGACTTGCAAATGTGCTTCGTTCCACAACGGCGTGCAATTTTTCATCTCTCATCTGGCCAGCTGGCTCCGCACCCGCCGCTTTAGCGAGCCTACTTTTCGACCCTCCAGAGCCCCAAATCATTGAAAAAACACAGTGTTTCGCGACTTTCCTACCTTTTCAACGACATCTGAACCTCCAAGAGTGGTCCGAACCCCTAGTGCTTTGTACATTTTGACTTGGAAATGTGCTTCGCGCCACAACGACGTGCACTTTTTGGACATCTCAACTTCCAAAAGTGGTCCCACACTGAGGTGCTTTGTACATTTTCACTTCGAAATGTGCTTCGCGCCACAACGGCGTGCACTTTTTCGACATCGCAACTTCCAAAAGTGCTCCGAGACCCAGGTGTTTTGTACATTTTGACTTGCAAATGTGCTTCGTTCCACAACGGCGTGCAATTTTTCATCTCTCATCTGGCCAGCTGGCTCCGCACCCGCCGCTTTAGCGAGCCTACTTTTCGACCCTCCGGAGCCCCAAATCATCATTGGAAAAACAAAGTGTTTTCTTTCTTCTAATCTTTCTCTTCTCTCTGCCTCTGCTCTACTCTGCTTTTCATCTGTCCATACTGTCGGAAGTTTGAATTCTAAACTTCCTTCGACTATGGATTACTGTGGGTTACTCTGGGTTACTATGGGTTGCTATGGGTTACTATGGGTTATTGTGGGTTACTGTGGCCTACTGTGGGATACTATGGGGTCCTATGGTTTACTCTTGGTTACTGTGGGTTACTCTGGGTTACTCTGGGCTACTGTGGGTTACTGTGGGTTACTTTCGGTTACTATAAGGTACTATGGGGTACTATGGGTTACTATGGGTTACTGTAGGTTACTGTGGTTACTGTGGGTTACTATGGGTTACCCTGGTTACTATGGGGTACTATGTTTACTGTTGGTTAGTGCGGGTTACTACAGGTTACTGTGGGCTACTATGGGTTACTATGGGCTACTGTGGTGTGGGTTACTGTGGGTTACTATGGGGTACTATGGTTTACTGGGTTTGCTGTGGGTTGCTGTGGGTTACTATGAGGTACTATGGTAACCAGTAGTACCGCACAAGGCGGTGGCGGAAGTTTCAAAAATGGAAAACCTATAGGAGAGGTGAGTTGGTGTGACGCAAAATTGGCAGAGCGAACCCACTGATGGATTGAAAGGTGGTTGGGTGTTTCTCCCTTTCTGTCTCTCTTTCTCTCTTTCTCTGTGTCTCTCTTTCGCCATCTATCTACAGAGCTACCTTTCTAGCCATCTACCTATCTACCTGACTATTCATGTATCTATCGACCGATTTGTTTATTCACCTATCTATTAAACTGTCCATCTTTCTGTCTATCCAGCCATTATCCATCCACTTACTTCTCTCTGTTAGTTTTTTTTTTCCGTCCATCTCTTCATCGATCCATGTCCACAGCTATCCATCTCAGGAAATCAGCTCCTTGAGCTCCGAACATCTCTGCTGAAGATGCCTCTTGTACTGCGCCTGCCACGAAAAATGCATCTGTGCAGATCCTCTTCAGATCTCCCACGCCTGCCATCGTTTTTGAAAATGCTACAAAAACCTCACGTTTTAGTCACTTTCAGTGGATGCACAATCCACGCCACCTACCATACAAAACGACGTCTGAACGTCCAAAATGTCTCCGAGACCCTCAGTTTTTAACACTTTTGACTTCGAAATATGCTTCGCGCCACAACGCCGTGCACTTTTTCGACATCTCAACTTCCAGAAGTGCTCTGAGACCGCCAGTTTTTAACACTTTTGACTTCCAAATGTGCTTCGCGCCACAACGGCGTGCACTTTTTCGACATCTCAACTTCCAAAAGTGCTCCGAGACCCTCAGTTTTTAACACTTTTGACTTCGAAATGTGCTTCGCGCCACAACACCGTGCACTTTTTCAACATCTCAACTTCCAAAACTGCTCCGAACCCCTCAGTTTTTAACACATTTTACTTCCAAATGTGCTTCGCGCCACAAGGGCGTGCACTTTTTCGACATCTCAACTTCCAAAAGTGCTCCGAGACCGCCAGTTTTTAACACTTTTGACTTCGAAATGTGCTTCGCGCCACAACACCGTGCACTTTTTCAACATCTCAACTTCCAAAACTGCTCCGAACCCCTCAGCTTTTAACACATTTTACTTCCAAATGTGCTTCGCGCCACAAGGGCGTGCACTTTTTCGACATCTCAACTTCCAAAAGTGCTCCGAGACCGCCAGTTTTTAACACTTTTGACTTCCAAATGTGCTTCGCGCCACAACGCCGTGCACTTTTTCGACATCTCAACTTCCAAAACTGCTCCGAACCCCTCAGTTTTTAACACATTTTACTTCCAAATCTGCTTCGCGCCACAACGCCTTGCACTTTTTCAACATCTCAACTTCCAGAAGTGCTCTGAGACCGCCAGTTTTTAACACATTTTACTTCCAAATCTGCTTCGCGCCACAACGCAGTGCACTTTTTCAACATCTCAACTTCCAAAAGTGGTCCGACGCTGAGGTGTTTTGTACCTTTTCACTTCGAAATCGGCCTCGCGCCACAACGGCGTGCAACTTTTCATCTCTCATCTCCCCAGATGTCTCCGCACCCGCCGCTTTAGCGAGCCTACTTTTCAACCCTCCGGAGCCACAAAACCACGAAAAAACACAGTGTTTCGCGACTTTCCTACCTTTTCGCGCACCTGCATCTTCTTTCTTCTGATCTTTTCTCTTCTGACTCTTCTCCCTGCTGACTGCTTTTTCATCTCTCCATATTGTCGGAAGTTTGACTTCTAAACTTCCTTCGACTATGGGGTTCAATGGTTCACTATGGTTTACTGTGGGTTGCTATGGGTTACTCTGGGTTACTCTGGAT